AAATCCATGGTATGCCCACACCTTGAATACTGAGTGCAGATGTGGTCGCCCCATCTCAAAAAGATATATTGGAATTGGAAAAGGTTCAGAAAAAGGCAACAAAAACGATTAGAGATATGGAACAGCTTTCATATCAGGAGAGATTAATAAGACTGGGACTTTTCATTTCGGAAAAGAGACAACAAAGTGGGACCATGATAGAGGGCTGTAAAATCATGACTGGTGTGGAGAAAGTAAATAAGGAAGTGTTATTTACTCCTTCTCATGACACAAGAACTAGGGGTCACCAAATGAAATTAATAGGAATCAAGCTAAGCCAGGGGCAGGCTGACATTGTATCGGGAGGTGTGGGGCTCCCTGCAGGGCCGGGCGCAGTGCCTTGGGGGAGACAGCCTGGAAGCTGCCTGGCCCCCTGCAGCTCGGTCCCTGCCCGGGCCCCTGCAGCTCGGGCCCCTGCCTGTCTGGGGTTACCCGGGAGAGGGTGAGGTTGCGAGCGGTGCAAGGCGCTCACCCCCAGGGGTCACCGGTGTCGGGAGCACGCAGCATGCATGCCATGGCCATAGGGCACCGGGCACCATGTGTGCTGCATTCCAGGGAGCATGTGCCTGCCTGTGGGATGTGGTGGCTGGCGTGACACAGGACATGGCTGCGTCACACCTGTCAGGTGGGAAATGGAGTCACTGCAGTGGGTGACTGATTTCCGGCCATGGGGTGGGAGAAGCTGTCGCTGGCAGCAGCTGCCCTTCTGCTGTGAGCCCCGCCTGAGGCCTGGTGGAATGGGCGGCACCCGGGCCCTGTCCAGGTGGGTCTGGTGCCCACACGCCTGGATCTGGCCAGGGCCCTGGAGGCAGCTGGGCAGCCCCGTTCTGCCGGGCCGGCGGTGGCAGGCAGAGCCAGGGCAGGACGTTGGTTGCAGACCTGGGCTCCGAACTCCTTGACTGTTGTTTTCTATTTTCCAGGCTGGTCTCCAAAGCTCGCCCCAAACACAAGCCCAGAGAGGACTTTGGGGTCCCCAAGAGGTAAATGGGTCCCGGAGTCCAAAGGCCTGTGGCCAGCTCTGGGGTTCCCTGGTGAAGGAGGACTGTGGGCCTTGCTGGCCGGGGCCGGGGTTGTGCTGCAAGGGGCTGGGCCATGGAGTGACGGTCTGTCTCTTCCCTGCTGATTGGTGTTAGGGTCATGGATGGCGAGAGTCCCTGGGCTGGGCTCGGTGCCTGGCACCCCGCTGCCCCTCCCCTGCCAGGCACTCACGCTCTGTTCTCTGCTGGCAGGTTGTACCTGGAACGGCAGCAGCTCAGCTACCGGCTGCACTCGGTGGCCTGCACGGGGAACGAGGTGCACATCTCCATGTGCCCCTTCGAATTCTACAAAGGCAATGCCACTGCGACCTGCAAAGGCGGGATGCCCGCTGTGGTGAGCTGCATGCCAGGGCCCCTCTTCACCACTGGCAGTGCCCCAAAGAAGAAGCCGCAGCGGCAGCAGCAGCATCAGGGCCAGGTAAGCGCTCTCCATGGGTTCAGCATGGGGCAGGCAGATGGTTTTGCCCCACCCACTGCGTCTCAGGCAGTGACTATCTCCCAGGGCCTGGTGGGGGCAGCAGGAGCCCTGAGGTGCCCCTTGGTCTGGGCCTGGCAGCAGTGCGGAGCGTCGGCTGTCCCGTGACGTGTCTCCCACGCTCTCGCCGCAGCAGCGCGTCCGGCTGAAGGGCGGTGCCAAGGCCGGGGAAGGCCGGGTCGAGGTGCTGAAGAACAGCGAGTGGGGCACCGTCTGCGATGACCGCTGGAACCTGCTGACAGCCAGCGTGGTGTGCCGTGAGCTGGGGTTCGGCAGTGCCAAGGAGGCTCTGACGGGAGCACGCATGGGCCAAGGTGAGCTGGGTCGGGGCTGGTGAAGGGAGAAGGTCTGGGGCAGCCCTGTGCATATGTGGGAGCGTGTCAGTGCATGCCGGGGAGCCCGTCAGGGCATGAGTGTGGGCACGTCTGCCCTCTGGGCACCTGTTTGACCCCCTGAGCTTGTTGCTCTGCACGGGAGAGAACCAGGTCAGGCAGGTTGAGGGCTCTGCACCCCGGGGACGCTGGCTCGAGGGGGCTCTCCCCACATTGGGGTGGGCTTGGTGCTGAGCCGCTCCAGCTCTGTTAGTGAGCGCTGTGCAGTCTGGGTGCCCTCGCGCCCTGCCCCTGCCCCCTCTCTGCCAGCCTCTCCAAGGGGACTCCAGACAGGCAAGCTGCAAGGGCTGGGAGAAATTCAGCCTCCGAGGGAGAGCCCAGCCCCTGGAGGGCCAGGGAAATGCCTGACCCCAGCCCCGTAGGAACCGATCAGGTCTGAGGAGACCCCCATATGTCTCCAGCAGGAGGAGGGTTGGGGCGAGGAGGGAGGGCTCCTGGGACTAGGGTAGGTATGGGGATTTCCTGGGGCATTGGCTGCCTGCCTCCCCGTCACCCTGGCCCCTCTGCTCCCGGCAGGGATGGGTCCCATCCACATGAACGAGGTGCAGTGCACAGGCTCGGAGAAGTCGCTGTGGAGCTGCCCCTATAAGAACATCACGGCGGAGGACTGCAAGCACTCCGAGGACGCCGGGCTCCGCTGCAACATCCCCTACATGGGCTACGAGACCACGGTCAGCACCGCCCCCGTGCAAGGGGGCAGCCCGCAAGGGCTGCGGGAGGGGGCCTGGCTTAGAGGCTCAGCGGAGCCCAGGGTCTGCTGCTCTGCCAGAGTCCCAGCTCACTGCCCAGCGGGGGCCATCTCCCCTGGCAGGACTCACAGGGCCCAGCCCTCTGCCAGCAGCTCCCCCTCGTGTCCCCCCGTCACACTGACAGCTCCTGGGCATGGAGGGGCCACCTCCGAGACACCGGCAAAGCGGGCACCGCCCCCCCAACAAAAAGGGTGCTAGTGCCGACCAGAGCCAGGTGTTACTGCAGTGGGGTGGAGCCATGGGGCCCAAACGGGAACCCAGCATGTGCACAGTACTGTCTGACTGCCCACGGGAAAACCCAGCGTGGTAACACCTTTCACGGGCCACCCACGAGGCCTTGGGGTGGCTCCCTGCTCGGGGTGTGTGTGTGTCATGTGCCATCTGGGGTAGCCCCCTGGTGGGGGGGGGCATGTGCCAGCCGGGGTAGCCCCCTGTGGAGGGGGCATGTGCCAGCTGGGAGAGTCCCCTGCTGTGGGGGGGGCATGTGCCAGCTGGGGTAG